TTGTGTGCCAACCCACAAATGTTGTGGTTATGCTTGCTTTGACTCGGTTCAATGCTGAACCACAACATTTATTTAACTACAATTTTTATTTTATTTTAAACAATCTTTATTTACCTAAAATATTTATCATGAAGCGCGCTGCCACATTAATTGGTTACCATCTAAAGTGCTTAATTAAAATAATTTCTTAACTTTACAGATGCTGATGGCCTTGTGGACCGAGCCCGTGTCGAGTCTTGGCGCGACAGCCTTTACGTTGGCCTTCAGGCCTACTGCACTTCGTTGGGAAGACGCGATGGGGCTGGCAGCAGCAGTCAGCTTCACGAATCAGTACATTTGCAATCATCATCTTCATCACACTCACACTTGTCAGTTATGTCGGCGCCAGTATCTGCATCGGCTAGCAAAACTCCGCTTTCTGTCACTCCACCCGCATCTCACGACGCCGGCCGGTTCACACGTTTGTTGCTCCGATTGCCCCCATTGCGTACGCTGTCACTTAAGTGTCTCGAGCAAGCCGCCGTCCTTCGACTTGCTGTCCACGATCCGACTTGTCAGCGCTTACTCAGCCTCATTGAGCAAAGAAATTGGTCACCAACCTCATTCGCATCGCCCTCAGCCCCACTAGGACAATTCCCGTCGACGTCCATTCATATAACTGCGGCCACTACTAACACTTCAAGTGCTGCCCTAGTCAACCCGGTTACCACAACCGCCACAACTATTACCACAACCAGCGTTATGAGCAGAGATAGCTATCCACTTTCAACTTCTTGTCCTGTGGATTCTGCAGTAACGGGCTCGAAATACACTTTGCTTCAGCTTGACATTTCTGCTAATAATTGCCTTGACGACGGAGGCAAGAGAGGCCCAGAAGACTCTAATATAGATTTCCGATCGACACAAATGAATGTTATTAAAGAAAAGCAAGTGAATAAAGATGATGGTGCCGCAAATAAGGAAGAAGAAGAGAATAATGCAAGTGAGACTGGGAATAGCTCATCACAGGAATCAACGATGCTTGGAAACTCATCGCTTCTTTGTGATACGTTATCATCTCATCTGATTGGATATAAGCCTACCTCTGTGCATTCAACCCACGCCATATCTACTTCCTTAGCTTCTTCGCCAGCATTATCTTCATGTGGCCTAGTTTCCGGGTCTCCTGCCTCATGGACACCTGCTTCTAGGCCCTCCTCTTCAAATGTGT